ACGGCAGACCCATCTTCTAGGCAGATGTCCTAAACTCTGATTATCCACATATAGGGTGACCAATCAGAGACTGATGTGAGGAATGCTCCCACAGAGTCGGGAGGAAGTGAGTCACACCATCATGCATCATTTTAGCAAGTCCTGTGTAGATTCTTTTAAGCATTCACCATAAAAGGATCCCTATATCACCATCTGTTCATTTTACATACAGGAAATATTATAAGACCATTCCTGTTATGTGACTATTCATAGTTTTGAAAATTATACTTCTCTGATTTCTTAAAAATATGTGCAAATAAATCAAAAGAAATGGACATTTTCTTTTACAAAGTACACTTGAAAGAGTGTTAAGTCACTCTTTTTATCAGCTGGCCCAACTCCAGGGACTGACTATCTCTCAGGAAACACTGAAAACCCTAGTATAATCCTAAAATGTGGATGTTGACTTTAAAGTTCTGATTTATCTGACAGATGTGTGAAAGAGCACATAGAAAACTCCCCACTGGGGACAGTGAAAATGTTAAGGAGTAAGAGTTAAGGAGGAAAGGCAACAATATAACCTCACTTTTTTTTTCCATTTATGTGATCCGTTTTCTGACACAGAAACATATTTTTGTGGTGGTCCATAAGATTATACTCACATTTCTATATGCCTAATTTAAACATAAGTGTCAATTACACATTAAAAAGTCTACCTTCTGGGGGAAAAAAAATCTGATATATAAGGGCACCTTGCTTCTGTGCAAGAAGCAACCCTCTCTTTAAGTGGAAAATGACAAGTATTCATCTACCTTTGAGCTGTGGATATTTCAACTCAAACCAGTGAAAGTTCAAAAGAAAAACATGAGAAAAAATCATAGTGTCAAAGAAAAGTTTAAGTAAATAATTGACTCCCTTTATTTTGAATATAAATTATTTGCTTACTACCTTCTGACTTTACTCAGTGACACCTGACTTCACTCAGTGACATGTTAATCAACAGTCACAAATTTTACATGAAGAGTTTAGCATTATTTCAGGGAAAAAAATGCTGTATAAGAAAATAACTGATTTTATATATATGAGGAGAAGCTTTAGGTTAGTTTTAGGGATTCTTTGCTTATATTTATAGTTCTGAAAAACAAAAATCTGATAACTTAAGAAAATGATAAGCTCCCTCTCACTTGCCTCAAGGGTCTTTTTTCACTGACCTTACAAGAGTCTACTCCAATAGCAAGGTTCGGAAGGAGTCAGAGATTCAGGGTGACATCTGATCTGCCTCCTCCCAACAACTCAGAGGCACTCTGCCCCCTGGTGGGATATTCAAGGATAGATTTTGAGGAAAGCTGAAGAATAGCTTTATTTCCACACCCTTCCCATACCAGCCTCTTCTTCCCCTCTGAAAATGACAGTAGATGACCCAGCTGAAAGCTGTGACCCAACAACTGCATATTAATTTGGATCAGCAATTTTCTTTCATGTACCATAAAACCTTGTACTATCTAATCAGTTCTCCCACAGCTAAAATGAGAGCCATGTTAGATCAATACAACCATTATTATTGGCAATCATGGCTTTGCCATGATTAAAAAAAAAAAAAAAGCAAAAAGTAGAAAATAAGACAATGGGGAAAGATGTGGATGTGCTAAGGAACATTTTAGACTCTGGGAAGATAGCTGGAGCTCTCTAGATAAGGAGGAAAGAGAAGGGAATATAAGAGGATATTCTGTGAAATACATTATTTGGCAATTTCCTCTTGGTCCTTAGAAGTCACTGCAAATCATTTCTTGAATTGCTTTTGGCCTTTGCGCAACATGTCACCAGCCTATGGGAGCAAGTGTGACACTCCAAACCTGAGTCATTTCTAGTATAGCCAAATTTCTCCCATTCAGGCTTCTTTGGTCTTTCTCGATGCAATCTCTCTCAAATAGCCCTCAGTTTTCCAATGCTGCAGCTACACTGAATCCACAAAGGAGGCAATGGGGAAATGATGACTGAAAAAGGAAGTACCATCTACTGAAAGCCAAAAGAGTATCAGGTGTCACCTGTATGGGATCCAAGTCTTTGCAACAAATTTCAGTAGTCTACATTTAAGGTGGACTACATCGCTATACTATACTATGCTCTATCAGCAATTCAAACCTAGAAAATTTTTGTTTTCCTCAAGCTATTTTTCACTCTGCTTTTCTGATGTTCAGATGGCTCAGCCTCCCCCAATAGGTTTCCCATAGCCTGGCTGTACCAGAGCTTTTCCTTTTTCTTTCTTCTGTATTTCAAACACTGACAATCTCACTACCAAACCTAGAGACTAAGTGTTCCAAGAATGTTGATCCAGAAAACTCTTACAGTAGTAGATCTGACTTACCATCTTTACAAAGCACTAGGGCACAATCTGCATAATTCCTTTTAAATTCTTGCTACAGAATTAAACTAAATCTCCCCAAATCATGGCAGGACATGCCAGGTCACCAGTGTCATTCATGATCAATTACTGTCTCTTGAAGGCTCAAATTCCTAAATGAAGTCTAGAATCCAATGAAACAATCTTTCCAAAAAATAGAATTGCTACCCAATGTTTTTTAGGACACAAAAAGGACTTTTATTTCATTATTTTCCCAAATTGCATTTCCAATTACACATTTGTTGAAAGATGGAGTACGAAAGGCATTTCTAGTCACATAATCTGTAATTTCATCAAAGACACATAATCTAAAATTTTACTTCTTGAGTGAATTATAGTCCTTTCAGGGTTTCTTAGTTAAAGAAGATAAAAGTAAGATAATAGAGAGGAAAAGTGAAGAACTGTTCTGTAGGAAATTGGTTGGACTCAATGACCATTCATTCGTGTGATCGTTCAAAAAAAGGAAACACTAAAATTCCTAGAAACACAAGACAATATTAGTATTTTCAGATGAGTATACATTTGTATATTTGTGTGAAAATTTGTGCAATTAAACAACGTGGAAAATGTTATTTGTTACCCCGGCCAATGAAAATGCTTTCATTTCTTTGTAAGTTAAATATTTCCATCTCTCATTTTATGTTCTGCAAAAAGGCCATATGTCTAGTTTATGAAATAAACTATGCTATCCGCAGCAGTAACTGAAAAGGAGCTTAACAATCTTAAGTACATACCCCTGGGATGAATAAATACACTTTGCATAATCATGTGCAATGCTAAATGATGATTCTAGATCACTTAGAACTACAAGGGATTGCAGGCTTGCACTTCACATATGCCCAAATCCAATCAATTCAGCCAAATGGTCAAGCTAAACTTTAGGTAAGTAATCTACATAGTTCTAATTTACAACCCATTTGACTAAATTGACCATGTTTTGTTAAGATGAGAACACAATCATTGTAGGTGTCCTATAGAGAAATCATCTGTAAGAGGCTATGTGTTTCAATTAATTCCCGCCCCCCCTCCCCTCCCCCAGGCTCCTAGAAGCTGACTTAATTGCTGCTTAGGCCCAAAGAAAACACAGCTGCATCAACAAAAGACAAACATATTAATAAAATAAAAATAAACGCCGTGCTCTATGCACATTCCTATCAGTAGCAAGCCAGAATTCTCCATAGGAGAAATGTCACAAAAAATGAACAAAGAAACTTGGGGATACAGCAGAAATATAGAATTATATAATGCCTAAAATTTTATCTTACTCCAGTGACAGGTGTAAAAGTTGATCAAAATTCCCTTTTTTACTTAGTTTACAAGTGAACCTTTGAATAGTATATTTTCAAGAGTCATTACCTCAGATTGAAAGTTTGCACAGTAGGCAAGCAATGTACTTCAGTTCAATACGGCGATTGTCTGACAGTCTAGACTAGGGAGCTGCAAGCAGGCAGTGAATCTATTTTACAAAGACAACTTGCTTCTGCAGACAAAGGGTATCAACTGCAGAAAGCTTTCTGAAGAATGAAGTATGAATCTTCTTTGGCATTTTAAATGTTCCACGTACCCTTCTTTTTTTTTTTTCTGTGCAAATGATCTTTCAGGGCTACTCCTTTTTATAAATCATTTTTCAACTTTTAGTATGTAATCTTGCCCTGTGTTGGGGGGGCTTCCGGGTGAATTTGAGGTAACCAAGTATTTCTGACATTCGGAAAGATGGATAACTTTCAAGTATTTCTGATATTTCACTGAGGTATCAGGTCAGTAACAAATTTCCCAAGTCCAAGACTTTGTGATTTTCCTAATTGCCTCATAAATCCAAAGTTTAGTTCCATGAGTTAAAGGAAAGCAGGCTCAGCTGCAAATTCACTATGCTTTTCGAAAGTCCTTGTATGTCATTTTCTAGTAACCTCTGTTATGCCCAAACTTCAATAGCAAGGGAAAAGAAATACGTTTTATTTATTTATTTATTTTTTGTTCTTTAACAGCTTTTAGGGTTCTTACTATGTCTTGAAGACTGCTGGAGCGTTCCCATGGCTACTTTAGATGATAGCACGCAAAGGAATTACAGATGGAACGGAGAGTGCAAATGACTATCAGAAAAAAGTCTCATGCATTTAAGATTTTTTACAAGTCAAAATATACATCCTCCTGTTGTCCCTATTCTTAAATTTATAGGGATCATTCCTATTTCACCAGTCTCCTTTACATCTCACTGAACTGGATAAGGAATAAAGATACTTTTCTTGTTAGGAGTAGTGTATATCTAATACTCATCAGTTTAATAGATTGCACTAATAACAAATATAGCAGCAGTCACCCATCATATCCTCTACTTATGGGGATTTAAATGTGTAAAGTGACAGGTACATGAAATTAGGAGGGAAAACAAAGCAATCTGCAGACTTTGGCACTAGCACACAAACGTTTTGTTTGAGTTGTTAGAGATGTGGTTTGATGATTGCTGAACAGGAATAAAAATTACAAATCTGCAGAAAACAAACAATCATAGGTGTTGATTCTCAATTTAACACTCCCCATCTCCCATTCCCACCCACCCACCCCATATAATTTCAATTATAATAAAAATAGAGATCTTAACATCATAATTTTGCTGTTTAACTCTTCAAGGTTTCTCCATGTCATCCAAGCCACACATAGGGTTTGAAGCACCAAATCCACAAGTTTTTCCCAACCAAGTTTAAATAAACCAAAACTGAAGATTGAAGGATGCCAAAGTAACTGTTCTTAAATGAAATGTAACACAAAGTCCTCCCCCAAACACAGGGTATTATTGTCTAGTTCAAGTACTGCCAGGCTGTACGTTGATCTGCTTCAGGCAGGTGTCAAACAATAAACTACAAATACCACTGGTTCTAGAGGGCATCATCCATGAGACCAAAGCAGGGCTGGGTTCCCTTCCATCATGGACTTTAAAAAAGAAAAAAAAAAAAATCGCAACCCCTGGTGATTGGCTGCTGCAGGGTCAGTGCTGAATCTGGGAGTTGAGGGGAGGAAATGAGCCTCCTCCTCAGCAGGGAAGCTCTAACTGTAGTTTGCAGTTCTTTCAGAGCTCTCTGGGACTGTCCTGGCTTCTCAGGATCCGTTGCTCTTGCCCAGAAGAGAAAGCCTCATTTCCACCCAGTAACAGTGAAACAGTGAAAGAAGAGTCAACCTACCTTTGGACCCAACCACAACATGGTCCACAAAGGCCGTTTAGGTGGCCCCACTGCAAGTGACAAGTCAACTTGTGCACTTAAACCGAATCAGTTTATGGAAGGCTTGTTTGAAGTCCTCATTGGACATGGTATAGATGACAGGATTGATTAGGGAATTGAGGTAACCCAGCCATGTGAAGAAGTCAAAGATGGCCAGGTGGAACCAGCAGGCATCCTTGCAGATAGGCATCACCAGGGAGATGATGAAGAAGGGCAGCCAACACACAATAAATGCTCCTAAAATGATCCCCAGGGTCTTGGTGGCTTTGCGCTCTCTAGCGGCCATGAGTTTCTTCTTCTCCAGCAGGGCGTCAGAGACTCGCACTTTGACTTGGTTCACGTACACGGGAGACCCGGATTCGCTGGGCACGTCGGGAGCCCTCGAGTTAATAGAAGTGACCGAGGATGTGGACCCGGGGGAGTCAGTTATCAATTGGGCTCGTGTCAGACGCTTGCCGGTCCTGTTAGGTGTCTGTTTCAAAATCCGGGAGCGGGCTTCCACATAGATGCGGCCATAGAGGGCGATGAGGAGCAGGGTGGGGAAGTAGAAAGCGCCCACCGTGGAGTAGACCGTGTAGAGGACGTGGTCGGTGTTCACCACGCAGTCTGACACCTCCTCCTCAGCTTTGGCTTGACGCCAGAAGAAGGGAGGCAACGAAATGGAGATAGAAAAGACCCACACCAGCGCAATCATGACCGCTGCCCTTTTGGGAGTCCTTTTAGCTGAGTACTCCACGGCGTCCGTGATGGCCCAGTAGCGATCCAGGGCGATGACACAGAGGTGCAGGATTGAAGCAGTGCAACAGGTGATGTCCGAAGACAGCCACAAGTCGCAGACCACCTGGCCCAGCGTCCAGCGGCCAGTGACCGTGTACATGGTGCTGATGGGCATCACCAGGATGGATACAAGCAGGTCGGTGACCGCCAGGGAGGCGATCAGATAGTTAGCCGGGGTATGCAGCTTCCGGGTCCGGTACACAGTGGCGATCACAAAAGCATTGGAGAGCGTAGTGGCCAAGGTGATAAGCGCCAGCAGCACGATCAGAAGTACTTTCCAGGGCAAGGCGATAGAGTCCTGGTAAATGTAACCCTCGGTACTGCAATTATGGGAGGTAGCAGCGGAAAGGTTGGCTGGAGAAACCTGGGTCTGGGCGCCCGCGGGCGGCGGCTGGGCGCACTGAGCGCCAGTTTCCTCCATGTCTCTCTTTACCCACGACCCTGAGCGCAGCACAGAGGCATGGAGTTGACGAGGGAGAATACGGAAAAACCGCAGAGGAAACCAAGGTCTAGTCCTCCGGTTAATTAGTTCCGTGGCTCGTCAATTACTCCTCCACCCAGATTCCCCGCAGAAACTAGAGGTCAAGGGCGCGGCAGTCCAGGCAGAGGAGCGCGTCCCCTGCACTTCCCGTGCGCCTGGCACCGCGCTGAGTCTCTAACAGCTCTCCACGCCCGTTCTTACACCAGGTTTGCTAAAGACTAACCACCGAACCCCGGTCGTCCGAGCTCGCTCCAGGACGTCTAGTGGAGAATGGATCAATATTGTTTGAGGAGGGATCATCAGTCAGGTGTGGTCTCTTACCCCTATTGCTCGGGGCTTAGAATCTCCTAGCCCGGACGCTCCCAGATCTGGAGACTGGACCCGCAGGAGTTTCCTAGCTGTCGAGACCAAAGCTTGCAGGCCAGCGAGAAGTCCAGGTTTTGCATTCCCACCCCCCCTCCCCAAGCTGGGGCTGTTTCCTGCGGCGGCTCTGGCCGCCAGAGCTGGGTGGGGTGAAGCCTGGGAGCCGCTCTGCGCCGCGCCTAGCGCTGGAGCTCTGCCCTCCCTTCTTTTCACGCGCTGGCCACTCCGGCGAGCTGCCCCGCGGAGACCAAGCGGCAACAGAGGAGACTCGGAGGTTGGGGCTGCGGCTGCTCCAACCGCTCCAAGGCGGCCACCTCGGTCCCGCGGGCACCGCTCGGAGCCATGCTGGCTGCTGGGCGCGCGGGTCTGGGGGACCTGGTGCGGCACGCCGGTAAGGGGCAGGTGTCTGGGGGAGCAAGAGGAAAGTGGCGTGCACCAGCCCGAGAGGAGCGTAAGAGTAGGCTAGAGGATGGCTCCTTTTATAGAGTCCAGGTCCGGTCCACCCGATCCGTGCAACTCGTGAGGTGGCGCAGCGAGTGAGGACGCCCGCTCCTCATCACCTTCGCTTTTCCTTTCTCTCCCCCTCCCTCTTTTACTCCAGCTCGGTTCCCTCCCTGGCCAAAGAAGCTCCCTCCGGGTCCTATCGCCCCCTCTCTCCCACCATCCCATTCCCTGGCCCCCTCTCTGGATCTTAACATTCAGGCAATGCAGTTCTATCCAGGAATGGGGCACAAGGGCTGCCTATCTTTGCTTCTACCCTCTTGGAGGTTTCCAAGACACCGAACACCTTCACCCAGGGCACAGTTCCTGCGTTCCTTCCCAGGCACCCTTTACCCCATCAAGTTAGTGCTAGGTGAAGCCAGCTCCAGTATATGACCTCTCCATTCTGGAATTTTATCCAGCCTAGTGGGCCACACCCAGGTTAGAAGGAGGCGCCAGTGATATTGCCTTAGAAGGAGACAGCCAATAATACATTTTATACTTTGGGCTTCAAATCATACTTAACTCATTTTCCTTATCTGGTTTTAGGAATTTGTGATCTTTTATTTAATCCCTCCCTTTAACTGAATCAACAGGGGGGGAAATTGTTTGAAAAAATGCAAAAGTATTACAAACAAGTACACGGTATGTGAAATTAAACCTTCCAGTTCACTCTCCAGCTCCAACACTCAGCATTTTAGAGTTGCTAGAAAACAGTATGTAGTGAGTACATTCTCTCCTAGAAAGGTCATCAGAACCCAAGAGGAAAATGACTCTTGGCCATCACCACCAACACCAGAAGTTAGTATCTTCTACCTTCAACAAATACATCTGGTTACCAGCCATTTGCAGCAGCCAGCAAGACCAGTACCTAGCTTTCAAGATCCCAGTGCATATTCTCCCAACCTCAATAGAAAAAAAAATGTAGAATAGAAATACAAATCAGAAAAGGACCAAGAAATGACACTGCATTTTCAGTCCTGTAAGCTAAGTTCCTAAAGCCTAGCACAGTGTTGGGCAGGTAGAAAGCATCCAATAAAAAATGCATTGTAATGAATATATCTGATTAAGTGTAAGCATGTTTTAAAGAGAATGATTCAGTGTAGAGCCATTGGAGATCTGACCATTCCAATTCTGTTTTGGAAGAGTAATTGAGACTCTGAAATTAGAGTATTTTACTCAGCTGTGACACAACCCTAACCCAAGTTTCCTCAATTCCCAACTCTCTCCTCAGGCAGACAGGCAAAATAGTGCCATGCCTACTCTAGGCAGAGAATTTTTCTGGACATTAGAGATCTAAAGGCCACTGGAGTAGCCCAGACCCAGCTTTATAGGCAGTTTACATCCTAAAAGTGGCAGACAATAACCCCACAATCAAGTAAATAATTAACATACTTTCATATAGCCTTGTGTTATGATGAAAATAAGGCATACTCATGTATTGAGAATGAACGTATTTTTTAACTTAGTGACAATTCTGCAAAGAAGTCCTCTGAAGGGGTCTTGGTCTAGGCTGCGCCTACTACAATGGGGACAAACACACTGGCCCCTCGTGCCCAGCGTGGCTCAGGTTAACAATAAGCTTTAAATGCATGGCAGATTAAGCATTCTGCCTACCCTCACACACCACTCATCCAGCCTAAGGTACCTCGACTTCTTTATTTTTGCAAACTGCAGCACTGTCTCAGAAACCACAATAGAGGGAAGCAAGAGGCAAAACAATACCACTAGGTGGGGGCGTTGGCCAGGACTGTGCAAAAGAGTGTGTGGTTGCAGGGGAGGGGTGTGCCAGGAAAGGATTTTCTTGCCATTTTATAGAAGTCAGGCACGATTAGAGAGGACTGTTAAAGAGATGCTAAGTGGAGGAAGACAGGAAGGAATGTTACCTGCCTTTCCGTTTAAAACCTCTGCTCCTAAATCAGGAAAGGAGAAAACCAGTTGCACTTAGGGCCAGGCTTCAGGGATTTGGAGACCTGTGGCTTTCTTCAGCCAGGCTTCTGCTGCTTTGTTAAGTCATACCACTGTGTGGAGTTTGCTTTTTCCCCCTTTTGGTAAGAATTCCGTGAATCACCCTTATTCTCACAGACAAGATTTTGGCAAAATTTTATGAAGAGCCCATTTCATCAACTGGGCTCCCACATTTTCACTCATTCTTTTTGTACTTCAAAACATATATATATATATATATATATACATACACACACACACACACCTAGTGGTATTGCCTTGCCTCTTGCTTTCCTCTATTGTGGTTTCTGAGACAGTGCTGCAGTTTGCAAGAGAGAGGCTAAACAATCAAGAGAGCAAGAAACGTTAAAGTCTCTTCTTCCTAGTTGCCCCAGAGACTGCAAGTCTTCATTTGTGCTTGAAAAGAAATCTCTTAAATTTGCAAAAAACTCAGCCAACACAGACTCAGCAAGAGGCACAAAAAGGGAAGAAGTCTAAAAGATATTTCTTCTGGATAAGATATCAGAGTGCAGAAGTTTTCGTGAGGTGGAAATAAGCTATTTGACCAGTGGCAGTTAAACTGCAAATTTATGTGCTTCTCTCATCAGCTTCACACAGGTAAACTTTCAGCAAAAGCTGATGAGCCTGTAGTTATACTTGAATGCAGTAGTGAGAGGCTTCTCACTGTGGAGGAAAGACTTCTTCCTCAGAGACCTCTTATGCTAGAAAAATATGGGTGCTAATTCAGCAAAATGTGAGGCACTGGCTATGAAGTTTAAGGCACAGACCTAACTAGAGCACCTACTGTGAAGAGAAGCCCCTTGTACCTCAAGACAACTGAAGGCTATGCTTTGCTTGGAAACCTGCCCAGCCAGCAGAGCCAGCCTGCATTCTTGCCTGGGGCACTTGGGTCAAGCTTGCCAAATCCCAATAGGCTTCCCGACATTTCCCAGAAAGAGGCTCTTAAAGAGAGGTCCAGGCACAGTAGCAAAAAAAAAGTTCTTGCCAGTCTATCTTTGCTTTGCTGAAATTAAAAAAAAAAAAAAAAAAGCAAAGCTAGCATACATATGCTGCATTGAGTTTCCAACTTTGATAAAGGAAAATGCAATCTCATACTCTCCCTTCCCACTAATTGAAAAATCAAGGAGCAGTCCCCTACTAAAGAATA